TAAAATCGTCGCATCGAACCCCACACTTCGGTGGTAAATCGCTTCCCCTCTTCTCTAACAAACAAAAAAAAATGTTTTTTAAAATCAAAGAAGCGATTGCCATACATTACTAACATCTACAGATGCATGAGCAATACATTTATTTTAATTAGATTGAATTAAAAAACCCTCTTTTATTTTTCTTTTAGAGGCTATCAAATAGTCGAATTTAAATATTTTAAGTATTTTTTTTTCTTTATTCTTTGTATTTTTTTTGCTTCCGACGACGGAAAGAGATAAACTTTCCGAAACGATAAGCATTTTTTTCTTTGTTAGGCAAATTTGTATTACTGTAAGCATAACTTCTGACAAGTAGTGTCCGTTTGGGTTTAACGCGGAAGTGTTTACAAAAAATAATTATTTTATTTTGTAGATTTTCTTGCATTGCAGTGGCGAAATATCCATATAGGATTTTTGTGGAGAGATGTTATTATAATATGACAAATTAATAACACCCTCGGTATTTTTTTTACTTTATTCGATAGACATACATGATATTCGATAAAATGACATATCACATGTCAACTTTTGACATTTTTGCATATGCACATGCGGTTCATAAAGACAATTTGATTCGAAATACCAAGTGTGTGGTACCAAATTATTTGTAGAAAAATTGTCCTGTTTAAAAAATTGAGATATGATTAACAATATAATTTGGGCATCCTTTAACTTGCTATGACAAGGCACGAAAAACATTAGACGATCAGATCTATTTTCCAAGGCTCCTTGATTAAAATTTAACCAAAATTAAGTGTTTATAACCCAGCCAAAGCACTCTAGATTGAAATTTAAAATACGATTTTTTAAGTAAAAATGTCAAAAGTTGACAAAATATGATATGTCATTCGAATCAAAATGTTATTTTCTGTCTAATGTCATGGAATAAAGCAGTGGCGGTTTAACCATGAGGTCAAATGGTCAATGACCCCCCAAAAAATCAGAAGAAAATTAGGAAAAACCTATTTAAATTATACCTTTTGTAAATAACTTTTTTTCATCCAAAATTATTCTAAACTATTCCCAAAAATCATCAATATGTCCAATTTTCGCTTAAAAAGGTTTTATTTTAACCATTTTCTCTACTGCCGTTCAAAATTTCATTTTGTCCTTCGTTCCCGCTATGCTTTGCACGTATTAAACTCCAAATGCCGCGGCTCGTAACAAGGTAAGGTATACTACGTATAGAAAATATAACGGGTTAAGGTGCGATAGATATAGTTTATATTAGCCATTGACCACGTCATTCATAAAAGGATTTCAGTTGTTGGAAAAATTTCGCCGTTTGGGCAATTTGGGTGTTTATAAAAACTCAAATTATAAAACAACCTAGGTTTCTGTATCGTTTATCGCGTATAATGTTTGGTTTAGTCAATATAAAGCGATATTGAAATTTTTAATACCGAAAGAAATCCCATCTAGATTGAGCTGTAGCGCGAAATTTGTGTAGGTAATAATTCATAATTTTCTGGTTATGGATAAATGATAAACTGTGGTTGGCTGATTCTTGAATGGTTACTTTAAAATAGACGACATGGTTTTTAATTTGTAAAATCGTGCTGTTAAAAAAACAATTGCTTAAATTTTGAAAAACGTTTAGACGGCCGCATTGACTTAAAATGTGAAATAAAACTTTTAGAATTGTGTATGTGTATACAGGGTCCGGCAATAGTGCGTCGGGCATCTGTAGCTCCTAGAATAAAAAACTTGGGAATTTTGTTTAAGTATTAACCTAAAGTATGTACAAGGATGTATTTCAGGAAAATATTTTAACTTCTATAGGGTGTCTCAAAAAAGTGTGAGTGGATCGGGATGATTTTTTTTAAATGGAACACCCTGTATATTATTGCATTTTTGGCTTCCTTTCAGATCACTTTACATAATCCTAAGATATGAATAAATATATTTAGATAGTTTCAGAGATATTCATAAATAAATAAAAATTTATATTCTCAAAGTTTCAATAAAAATATATAAATATATGACTAAATTTGAATCAAAACTATATTAGGTATTTACTAGATGGTTTATACTAACTTTGGTAACACAATCTTAACATACAGATGTTCAGTCTTGCCAGTCTCTAAATATAAAAATACTTTTTTCTTTATTTTTGAATACACTTGTATATTATGAGTTGATGGAGAATTATAAAATGAACATTTTTTTGTATTTAGTATTTCGTAATGATGGTTTCGTAGATACATCGTAGTATTATTTCATGGCCTTCAACGGTAAAATACCAGAGAAAATGCATAGGGTGGCTTTGATAGAAATTCTACCTACTATGGAAAATGCCATGAAATATAAAACTGCGAATATCTCTGAAACCACAAAATT